GTTATTATTATTTTTTTTTAAGAATAAAAATTGCTTCACCTTATTATAAGTTTATCGTTTATCTATTACATTCTAATGCTGAAACAATTGACTCGGGAATTCACGTGGTTTGTGCTGTATAATAATATTCATGCGTGGGGGGTGTATAATAACTGTACTCTACGTAAAACAAATACAAAATAAAACTAAAGCCGTTTCTTAGAGTCTGAATAAGAGAGAGAAAGAGCGATAGAGGGAGAGAGAGAGACGCGCAGAGAAAGAAAAATAAGAGAGGGATGGGAAGAAACGCTATATAGTGAAATCGGAAGTATTTCAAGTCCAGCTCGTTGGTCTAAAGCATTTTAAAACGTCCAGTGCAACCGATTCAGCGTTCAGTGTGTTTTCGTATCCATTACGAGTTACTAAAAGTCTGTGATCGGTTTCGTATTCAATACGTATTATATACATTTTTTGCAAGCCATATAATACTAAGGTAAGGATTTATATTATTTACAATATAAGCTACCCATTCACATCAATAATTAAAAATTATAATACTATTTTGATAAGAAATAATACAATAAGCATTGTCATTGCGTACCTAGGTATACAGTTTTAAACGGTTTTCTCTAATTTTATTTCTCATTCGATTCTAAATAAAAATAAAATACATATTAATATTAATACAATGATTTTTTAATAATTGTTAAGGTTTTTTAATAGATACCTACTGCAATTTTTATTCAAGTACCTAAGGTGCATTTTTTTTTCATTTAGTATAAGCTAAATTACGTTATTTAACTTTTAAGTTTGGAATACAAATTTATTAATACTTAAAACATTTTTCTTAACTTACTTTAATTTAAAAAAATTATAAATGCAATAGTTATTGTTTTTATATTTTTATTCTTTAAATAGATAGTGAGCCTTTAGGTTTACATCAGAAATATAATAAAACGTCAGTTGACTATAATTAAGATTTCACCATCAATATTAGAAGTGACAAAAGTTTTGATAGGTGCTTTATAAAATTGTTATTTTTTGTAGAAATTGTTCATTTAACATATAGTTTTTAAATCTTATTTTGTTATATCTTACAGGATCAGTTTAATCATATACGTACTTACATAACATAACATAATAGGTGCATATTGTTAACTATTATATTATTATATATTATGCTAAATCAGTAGGTAGAGAATAAAAAAATTAAAATACTATTCATCACAATCATCGGGTTTCGGCTGTTAACTGTTGGTTTAAATATTTAAATATTGTTGTTTATATTTTTATTTTTTCACTTAAGTTTGATGTAATTGTTTAAATAGAAAAAAATTCTAAAATATCTTAAAAAAAAAAAAAGGATGTGTCAGATGAATTCTTTTAATATCTAATCATTTAATATGAATATCGAATACAACTTAAGAGAAAATATATAGTGGTAGACATGTTTTACTATTTATAATATTATTACTATTATATATTATAATTTGTTTTATAAAAAATTAACGTTTTGATGTTGTCCTCCGGGTCTGGTTCGAGTGAGGCATCTAGGTGGTGTCTTATAAGTTGAGTTGGAAACGGTGAGAATTATAATGTGGCATTCGGCTAAAATGTATAGGTAGTAATTTGTTAGACTAACATGGCAACATCACTGTAAGATTCACACATAATGACTCTTCCCTTGCCACACAAGCAATTTGTAAGTAAACTTGGTATTACCTATGCGTAGTACATTTTATTTTAACTATAATATATTGTAATTTACCTTAAGAAATATACACATATATTTAGAATTTAAAATTTTAGCTTCAGCCCGTAAACTATGGCCATTAGCAGTTTTTTGTTTGTAGGGAGGAGGAACGGTTAGTTGAAATACGTTTGTATGTGTGGCAAGGATTTGTTTCTAAAAATTCCGGGTGGTCACCCATCCGGGAGCTATCAACACCAGCCGATACGTACATCTCAGAGCGTTTAGCAGTTGAATATACGGACTGCTTTAATAATTAATAAGGGCATAACACATTTTTTTTGTTTCAACCCATCGCTAATATTATGCTATAAGCCTATAACATACATTTTAAAATGTGTTAATCACATCGAATAGTAATAATTTATGGGACGTTCAACTGACATACTATATATTACATTATTATATTGTATACATATCGATATCGTATATATAAACTATAAAGGTCATATTACATATAATATACGTTCACTGTTCAGCTATTGGCTATCACTATTCGGGTGGGTATCATTTAAGCTCCTTATAAGCTCCTTTATGATAGATTCTTTTAAAAATAAATTTATTTGAGCAGTATGATCCCATACACCAATATGGCCCGATAAAAACACATTAAATGCAGTGCACCATACTTATATTAAATGTGCTGCTTAAGCATATTATTATAGCTGTTGGTTTGCTAATCTATAATTGTCATCAGTGGCCGTCGTTAACGAGTCCTGCGCGGTCATCCCGCAGTGAAATAATCCACTCGAAATTGATGGCCTACAATTATTATGATATTTAACAATGATATTTGGGATTTTTTCCGCCGCTCTTGTTAGATATATTATATGGGTACGTATATGTACGTTATTATATACATACATATCCACGAAGGGAAGCACTTTCACTATATACACAAAATTATTCCGGATGTCATCGACACCTCGTTATTTTGTGTTTATGTGCCAACGAATACATTTTTGTTGGTTCAATTAGATAATAATAATAATATACCTATACAACGGAGATAATAATTATGATAGATCCATCCATCATGTGCGGTAGTTTTTTTTATGCCATTATATATTATTTTCCTCCAGCTAGGAACGTATCGATTTGTAACGGTAAACACGATAAAAGATCATTTATTCGCGTTAGATAGTCATTATAAACTTATTTATCAACAGAGACATGTCAAATTCCAGTGAACATTTCATGTTTATGACAGTCTCGGATTTACATAACATTTTACCATTTATGTAAAATGAAACCGTATACAATATACATATGTGTACGTATATACGTACATATTGTAATTTAAATTTTGTTTCATGTATCATTTTATAAAAAGTTATAATCTTCGATTGATTTTAATTGGAAAAAAAAAATAATAACACTGAGATCAGGTTGGAATTGGAACCTATACTTTACTTGCTTACTTACACTATATTATATACATATATTATAGAATATGCATGCGCTATAAAATAATACTGGTGTCCGGGAATACGCCAAATTATAGACGATGGTTATATCTATTATAGCTCTTGTGGCTATGAATATCGAAACACGAAACACGAAATAAATGAGATTATAGTTGAAACGTTTTTATTGGCAACAAAACATGAATAAATAGGTCCGCCGTCCGCGTATAGGTAAAATAAAATACAATAATATAATAAAAGCTAAGTTGTTACAATAGATTCTTTGACTACCTACCATCCAGCTAAGTTTAAAAAAAATTATCTTTTTAACTAGTTAATGTCCACGCGCCTTTGTACATTGTATTGTATAATAACAGTATGAATTGTATAAACGATGTTGTTATATCCGTTTGGAGTCGAAAACACGACGGTGGTACTCTTATCCACGTGACCACATCTCTTATATGCATAATAATTATTGGCAGTAAAAATCCGACGACGGTCGCAGCGCTCTAGTGTATAACTTATAGTCGGTAATATAATATATATGGAACGATTTGAAAAAAATATCGTCTCGGACTGACGACGACACGTTGGCGTGACAAACTCCGACAGTTAAAAACGCATACACGAGTGTACATAATATAATAATATAATATATTACAATAAACTTATCCGATCGGGACGTGCCTGTATTACTAACGCGACCGTGACGAATATTATTACAGCGCGTGCGCCATTTTACCTAGCGGCTGTGATGCTTGTGCACTGCATGATATATATAGGGCGCGTACTCGGCAGACGTGTTTGAAGACAGTTTGTTTTTATTTTGCGTTTATTAGAGGACAAAATTTCTGAAAACGAGTTCAGAATTTCCAATTTTGTGTTCTTATAGATTTAATATGAAGAGTGAATTGATCTATATCATGAATCCTATAGGTATAAGAAGAAGAACATTATCTGTGTTTGAAGCTTTGAGCAGTGTATCTTGTATGTGTATTTACTTACTATTGTAAAATTAGGGGTCGGTGACGACAATTCTCTTGTTTGTCACAAGTGTTTTTTCGACATTTTAATTTCGAAGCAAGTGAGTGTGAGCGTGTGAAAACTATTGAAATAAAAAAAAATGCTTATATAATTCGTACCTATCAAAAATTAAAATTAAAATATCAGAAAAACACTTCTGTTAAACTAAAAAAAAAAAATTCGTCGCACCTTTGAGTTTGGTAACGGGTAAATTCACTCCAATATTACACGAACTGAACTGCTAAACATAAATTTGCTGTAATGTTACGCTTACGCACTTGTATTAACGGAGACAACTGCACGTGTGTGAGATGTCCTCAAAAACTCGGCAATCGGCATTAAACTCGCGACAAAATAAAGCGGTCGCGATATTCCGCCGTGCATTCTGTTTTTAATCACGTGATACAATATTATGTATATATTATGTATTTACTACTACTATGGTAGTATTATATACTCGCGTAAGTATGTATAATGCATTAGCCATTATGCCGTACTCGTATTTAAACTCGAACTTATCGTCGCACGGTCGGCGGTGGTCAGCTGCCTGCGAACAAACAGACCGTAAATGACTAATATATTATTACTCTCGTAAGTCGTATACTATGCGTATACACATTTACATAATACTTTTATAAATATTGTTTTTTATACTGCGGATAAAGCATAATAATATGATAACGATAATAATAAAAATAATTAAGCAATATTATACAAGTAATGTAATTTTTAAAGTTCTGTCTAAACGGTCGTTTCTCGCTTGTTTTTCGCAGGTCGTTTTTCCGTCACCGTCTCAAGATCTTTAGTACGTCAGCCACCCCCTCTGCCGTATAGTCATCATGTTGGTCATCGTAACGTATTTGCCGGCGCTGTTGCTGTTGTCTGCCGCCGCGCGAGCGGGTCATTCCGTTCACGATCCGAACGAATATTACGTAAGTACCTACTTATTTTATTATCGTGATATACACACACGCATACACCATTTTAGGTATATCATTATTTTGTTTTTGTCTTGACGGGGCGACGGCGACGATGGTCGCGCCCTATTGTTTTTTGTGTACACCGCTTGAACCACGTACATACATGTTATTACTACGCGACATTGCTCATATAGATCCGACCGAGCGGTGAGCACTTATCCCCTTGTGTACCACACTCATGTTATAAGCATATAAACCTTAAGAGTATTAAGTCTACGGTTATAAGCGGTTATTACTATATTTCTGGAATTTCTCATGTCGTAGGTATGCATTACACGCGTAAAATATAGACGCATAAAATCGGAGCGATTGGCCCAGGCCACTATAAAAAAAATAGTAGCTTACGGGTTTCGTGTACCTACCTATTTTGTGTAGAATTTATTTTGTTTCGTCACGCGCTCGCCCCCGAACACAAGGTCCTTCGCCGCACCGCGAGTATGCTCGCTCGTTTCACAACGGATAGAAAACAAATGCTGCAAGATCAAAATTATAATTAGTTTATAACACGAAACGCGTGCGGGGCGGTTTTTAAACGTCTCGTAGTAAGTATAAAATTATACGCATCGTATCGACGACGACCAAATAACAATTATAATAATTTTATAGGTACATAATTATACCTAAGCAGTATATACATTACCATATATATATATATACATATGTATAGACCTGCAGCGCCGCGTATTGTTGCACAACGGAAGCGAATGGCTCGTGTACATATAATATATTATTATCAAAAGTACACGTGCGCGAGCGGAGCTGGTTTCCTGTAAATCTCGTTTAGGTACCTATCTAATGAATCCATCGATAATGGACGTATAGTTTTCCACTCGGTCGCCCGTTATTAGCGCGTGGCCAGTCAGACTATTTTTTCAGAAGCACGTGTCTATAGTAATATTAATATGTGACATAGTATAATATGTATTTTAATTTATAATATCTACCACGTGGCGTTTGCAATCGTCTTCATACGTCAACATCGTGTTTTGTGTTCACAGAGTGAGCCCAACTATCATTTCAACTACGGCGTCAAGGACTTGCACACGGGTGACCTGAAGAGCCAATGGGAGAAGCGGGAGGGCGACGTGGTCAAAGGGTCGTACAGCTTGATGGAGCCGGACGGTTCCATACGGACGGTTGACTACACTGCCGACAGCCATAACGGGTTTCAACGCGGTCGTGTCCAAAGAGCGGCCACAACGTTCACCCTGCCCAAACACAACCAGCAGCCAAAGCAGTTCCAACACAGCACCACAACAACAACTGTCGCTGCACCAGGCTTACAAGCAACACAGCAGCCGGCTGCCGCGTACCAAGTGCCCCAGCAGCACAGCCGGCGTTTGGTCGCTTACAAGCAGGCGCCACCTGCCAAGTACCCACAACACCCTTCTGTACCGCGCTTCTACGGCAAGTCTTCACCAACGGCCACTGCGGCCGCCGTCAACTACATGGCGTACCCGAACCGTCCGATCAGGATTCCGACGTAGCCACAGCCACTCCAAATATTACACGCCCCTGCCCCCGCCGCCGCCGCTCCACAGTATTACGCCGCATCGCCGGCCGAATACGACGTCCAAGCCAAAGCCGAAGCCGAAGCCGCTCCCGAGTACTATTACTACGCGTCGGCCGTGACGCCCGACACCGAATCGCTGGCACCGTCCCCATCACCGTCGCCGACGCCAGACTCGGCCAAGGCCGGTCCCGTTTTGTTCCCGGCTGACAACGCCACGGCGACGGCCGACGCCACGTCCGACCGACCTTCGGCGTCGCCCACGCCAATCACTCTGCTCAAATACGAACCTGCGGACAACAACGGCGGCCAACCTCTGTACGCTGACTACAACTATTACGCATAATTCAATAATTACATACATATTATTGTATGTCCCCCGTCTTCCTGCCAAAAGAGATATTTTTTTTTTAGACTTTGCTCGTATTAATAATAATTTATAATTATTGTCGCGTGTACAGTACTCCCTCTATCCCCGCCATCCCCCGACCCAATCGTAAGGATAAGATTTTTTTTTGCTTACGGGACAAGCCTTCTCCCAATCCACCTTACCTAAATAATGTATCATAATATAACTTATAAATACGAAATCACGTTGCTTATACTTTTATTTTAACAGACGAAATTATCCTCGTGTTACGAGAAGTTAATATATTACAAAGTCCAGTTTTCAGATAAAAAACCGCATGTATAATAAAAATAACACTTACTCGCTGTAGGTACTCATATTAAATTTGCTTTCTCTATATCGGTCGAATTATGCGTCTTCTCGCCGTCACTACTCACTTCACATATCCACGTTTTCCCCAAACGAGCTATTTGATTTTTCTACTGTGCAATCTACCTATATATTATATTTCGAATCAAAAATGCTGTCCGCAAACGAACCATAATATAGGTATTAGGTATATATATCGGACAAAACACTATACGCAATTATTATATTATATATTATACACCTTAGTGCAACCACATATTTTTAATATTATTATGTGTATTTTAGATTTAGGACATTACTATAGTCTTTGTAACGAAGTGCAATATTTGATTTGATCTTTTTCGTGTTTATTTAATGTTAACATAATTATTATATTATGTGTATTTATAATTTAAAACACACGTTTTATGTGCATATAGTATATATATATATATATATTATGTATTTTTTTAATAATATTAATTGTTTTATATATAAAAACGATTTATTTTTAAATTTGTCATTTATTTTCTCTTCGCTTAGTCGTACAAAAGCAAAATATTATATAATATATAATATAGATTATAGACGAATCGTATATACAGCGACGCGACTTGTACGGAATGTGTAATAGATATATATAATATATTATTATCATTTCATAACGGGCTCAGTCGGCGACTTCCTCTTTTTGACGATTTCATTAGGCCTCGGGACAGTGTGTGCAGGTGCCGCCGAATGTCTATTCGTACGTCCGACCGTGGTCAATTAAAAGTAGGTACCAGTTACAGTACGAACAGGTATTTAATGTATAATAGGTGTATGCTCGTCATAAATCATTGCGCGTTCACGTGGTGTTAAGTGTAAACATATATATGTATATAATAATAATGTATAATATAACAACACGTATAGTAGTATGTATATTGTATACATAAATACCGGTATAATATATTGTGCACCGTGTACACACTTGTCAATTATAATTACTATATACGTTCGATGTATTGAAACGGTCGCAATTATAATGATAATAATATATTAATGTATACACACCGCTCGCACGCGTGTGCATAATAATAAAGATAATATTTATAATCTACAGCCACACAGGTAAAACGACTATAGTACATAATATTATATTATTATTATTATTAGTTTTATTACAGTGCGAGTGTTTCATTTTCCAGAAACGTTAGGCCCCCGTTGTCGTTATATTATAATTATTTATAATATTATATTAATAATATTATTGTGTTACGTATAGGAAGTGCACGCACGAACTCGGTTGAAGAAGACGAATCTCGTGCAGCTCGTGTGTGTTTCCGACCGGATGTGCTTTTTCGTTACGCCGCGGTCGTTCGCATTCGTTCGGTCTCCGCGGATCTCGGATTCACGCCACACAATAATAATGACTGCAACGATATTAATATAATATACGAATTACTTTATTATATATATACGCTTATATTATTATGTTTATATAAGTACCTACACGTTTAACTACGACCGTAAATCGTCCATACACTCGTACCTATGTGTATTCGGACCTTCATCCGTGCGAATTTCCCGCTAGCCGGTGTCGAGCTTTTACAAATTTACAATGCGCGTTTTTTTTACCGGACGTGGAAACCACGTTTGATGCACGAGATTATTTATGTATAATATAATAAATACGAATCGTATAGTCTTATACTAAGGATTAATATTTAACTCATTCCTATACTTATTAGTTATTACTTATTAGTTATCACTTATTATACTCATAATACACATATACATGTCATGTAACTTTATACATATATATATTTTTCAATATTTTAAAATATTAATATGTAAGTATGAGTACGTGTAATTTGAGTATCACGATAAATCTCATGTCTGATACTAGAATGAAATCCCCCCCCCCCTGCTTAAACATTTGTTAATCTAGAGTCAGTGAGGAATACATTTAATAATACATTAATACAATACGTCGTATCTTCAACTTTAATCTCTTAAATCGTTTAACTATTTATATTCCCATCCACACCCTGTGATAATAGTACCTACCGGCAGGAAGTTTAGAAATTTCGTTCACATAATCACATACCATGAGTCTGTAATTTGCACCAAAATAAAGTCATGTAATTTGCACCACCATCCACCGTAGTAGATAGCCGAAAACAGTATTTACAATTTGCACCAAAATGATTAGTCATATAATGTGTATTCAAGTATCGACTACCTATTCGATTATTTCTTCAAAAACGTTACATGTTTAGTGTTTACATCTAATTCCTAAATAGTAAATATATTATTATTTATTGTTAGATACGCATGCCTTCCATCTTTATTATAAGCGTTTGAAATTAGAAATTCGAGAATAAAAACCAATAGACTACAAGACTTGTGATTTTGTTGCTATTACAAGAGAAACGCATTTGGTGTCTGTTTTTCGTAAAACTGTTACGACACACGTGATACTTATGCTGTATAATATTAAAGTAATCTCTATGACTCCATGTAATAATTATGCATTCTGCTCTTATATCGTCAAGTACATGGTATTTTGTCTATAAAAGTGAACAAGTTTGGTATAATCGTGAATTTTCATTGTTAATCCCACAATGTTAGCCGTTTAGTATAAATGTTAATAACCTGCAGGTAATATGTAAAACGACAATACCTGAGATCGTGTACCACAAACACACACATGATAATATACCTATATGGAAAATTTCAATTTAAAACAACGGTTTATGTCGTATGTGTCGTATATACATGTACCTAGAAAAAAATATACTGCATAATATATGTCTTTATCTGCTGCAATATATATACACAAATAATTTAAAAAGTAGTTCGTATTCGTATGAACTACTTAGGTACTATACTTATTAAACTATTTTGGAAATATAAGGAAATGCTATTATAACTTATATAAGGTAGGTACCTATCTATATCAAATACTAATTTAATTTAATTCAAATCATTCATTATTCATATTATAACAATTCTATATTTCCATGTATACGTTCCACCAGTAGGTATTCGTATTAATATGCCCACCGTTAGAAAATTCAGCTAGAAAATGTCAGCTATTTCAAGCAACAGAATTTTTTGAAATTGAATTACACTGCAGTTACACATATAAATAAATAATGATATAAACATTATTTTGTATATATCACCCATTTCGATGATTTCGGTTAGAGTTACCAAAGTTCATGATTTGTAATCGATGAAGTATATAAGTAAGCTCAGATTACACGGGCGTCAAATAAAAACAAATATGGACTAATATCAGTGTCAATAATATTAAAACAATAAACTAGATGTTATCTAATTATTATTTTTCAAAATCTATTTCAGAGTTACAATCAATTGTTTTCTGATGGTGTATGGTCATAATTCATAAATATTAAAGCACGTTTTATCGGGACCAGTTGGTAGCCAATAGCCATTGTAACTGTATATGATGAGACCTTACGTAACAATTGTATATCGTGCACGTAGTCACTATTATAGATCATTAGATCCTTATCCTTATCGATGATATGGCCTTGGATTACATTTTTTGTTCATTACCGTCGTAGACCAAAACAAAATCTAACTATATAGTTTTGGGTTTCAAAATTAATTTAATCGGTCAACAATGATATATGATATGGTGATTGGTAGTTGTATTTTTTTTAGTTTTAAATTTAAATTCGATTAAAACAAATAATGATTAAAGAACAGGACTATAATATAATAATATGATAAATATTGATAATAATAACATGCGTCGAGCGTAACACGGGACATACGAGATCGACGAATTCGATAAAAAATAAAACGAACTGGTAAATTATTATTTGGACCAAATAAGTAGTAAATAGCTTGTTATGAAACAAATCACATTCAGCAATCAGTGTATAGAATTAAATGCTGTACAGATATAGAATGATATTATATTACTATAAAGTTAAAACATACACTCATATTTCGTTGACCGGCAATATGTTTTTTGAAATAGTAGATTTTAATTAAAATTATGAAACTCGTGTTTTTGTTTTCAATACCTACACAATTATGCGCACACCCAGATGTCCAGATTTGATAACATTTGAATAAAACACCAAATAATATATAGGCTAGTTCAATATACATACAGTTGTTGTATTAAAGTCATTATTGGTGCAAGCTCCGTTCGATAGAACTAGAACACTAACGCAATGTGATAATAATTACATATTGTATTAAAAAAAACCGTCTTTTCTATATTTATTTTATTTCTATTTGATCAGATAAAAAGAACACTTATTTTAATGAAGAAATCAAATAAACTATATAAGACACTAATATTACTTCTATAACTATACATAAACACATAAAAGTATTCAAATCAAAATCACATCTTAATGGAATTTGTGAAACGTAAAAAAACTAGTTCAACGTATGTAGATACCTATTATATGTACACATTGTACATATTACGACTATATTATGCGAAGTATGAACCAAAACAAAAATCTGATTAGGTACCTATATTTATTAGAGGCAAAAATTGGATCACGGAAAACGCCTAAAATTGTACTAAATACTTGTTTTGTTGGTCAGTCTTGTCAGTAAAGTCGTGTTCGCCTTATCATAGATTTCAAAACAGCCGCAGTGTCAAAAACATG